TATTACTATAAAGCTATTTTTTCACACAGATCTCTCTTTGCAACAGGTGTCAATGGGGCTTGTTGATGTAGTTTGAAGATCTTTCTTTATTTTTAGAAACACTTGGATAAATACTTCTCTTGCTAATAATAGAAACTGCATTTAAATCATCTAGAAGGTTGTTTACAGAGGACTTCACTGTGTGTCTTCGCCTTAGTCTTATTGGCCTCGTCACTGGTGCCATTTGTCTAAACACTGTCTGTATTTTTAGCATCTTCACCCTGTTTATTTTAGACCTCCATTCTTTCTCCATCCCTCTTTGACTCTCTCTGCAGGAAGCTCATGCCATGCAGGAGAAAATATCGGCTCAGTACAAGAATGAGATTGACATGGCGAAAGCTCAAAGGGACTATGAGCTGAAGAAGGCAGCCTATGACATTGAAGTCAACACTAAGAGGGCTGAATCAGAGATGGCCTACCAGCTGCAGGTACACAGGCGTGCACAGGAAGCAGCTCATTTTGCTATTTGATCTCTAAGCTGAATATATATTTTAAATCCAGTGCACAGCATTTCTTTAATTATAACTGCAGGCCAAATGTTTTAAACTTATTACAAATCAACAACATTTTTACAATTCATGATATTAAATGAAGAATATTATGTGCACAGACATACATGTATGATCTGTTTTCCTCTGGCAGGTAGCGAAGACGAAGCAGTGCATTGAGAGTGAGAAGATGCAGGTGCAGGTGGTTGAGCGGGCGCAGCAGATCATGCTGCAGGAGCAGGAGATCACCCGCAAGGAGAAAGAGCTGGAGGCCAAGGTGAAGAAACCTGCAGAGGCTGAGCGGTACCGGCTGGAGAAGCTGGCTGAGGCTGAGCGGTGAGTGATGGGTTCGTTTTCACCTCCTAAACTGCAGGAACGACAGTAAGCAGACAGGCTGTTAGGTTTTTCTGGGGTGTTTTCTCTGTTTATATGTCTGAAGAAGAAACATGGAAAATCCCTCGTGTGTGTGTTGTTTTTTGTAATTTGGCAAGTTTTCATCCGTCCACTTAAATCCTTCTTTTTATGTTAGAATAACATTTGAGCTATCATTTTATATTTTAAGAGCATGGCTGACATGTTTGTACTGCTCAAATCATTTATCTCTCTGCTAACCAGCTGACTGTGTTTCTTTTGTCTGTCCAGTCTTAAGCTGATCATGGAGGCAGAGGCTGAAGCTGAGTCCATAAGAGTGAGTCAAAGCTGTTTCTGGGGAAAAAACAAAAGCATTTTCCACAAATGTCATCTTGAATTATCTG